GCTTCCGCTTCAATTGTACCTACTTAATGCTTAGTGTCATCTCAGTCCCTGTGTCGTCGCCTCTGGGATTCTATAGCCTCTCGGACGCAGCAACACTTAGAAAGTCGGTGTAGTAAGACTGTAGGCCTCAGAACACCTTATGGATGTATCAAAGAGAGGGAGCATGCGAGTGTGCCACAAACTCTAGCCACGGATCATCCCTGCTCCGTTCAGGCTGGACTTCAATGCACCCGCACTAGACATGGCGGCCGTGACACAGCGGTCAACTGATGGGCCGAAGGACACCTACGTGGTGAGCTCTGTGTCTCGAGATGGGTCCGTAAGGAGCTGGGCAGAGACCAGCAAAGGAAGACAAGTTCAATGCTCTGAGCAGACATAAGTAGGAATATGCTCCGATAAAAATCGTGCTATCTGTTTTATAACATTGTAGAGTTCGGAAAAAGTCAACAGAGGTTAGCAACTGAAGTCACTTGCTTCTAGCAGTTCCAACGGCCACGTGTGGGCGAAGCTAGATCTGGGAAGCTCATCCGTTATTGAACCTAGGTTGCAGAAGCTTGTTGGGAAGTATTGTATAAAACATAGGTACTAGTGGTTGCTCGTAAAATAAGAAAAAATCCGTTCCTGCACATGAATGAAGGAATGAGGGTGGGATCATTTCATGGCGACCCACTCACTCAACGTGAATACGGGGAAGGTTGAAATACCAATGATCTGCAGGAATACGGGACAAAAGTAAAGTCATCGCAAAGAGGAGTCACATGATTACCACAGATCCTAAGAGAGGAGACAGCTTTCTGATAAGCACTAAATTAGAGGAGAGGATCACCTTTATTATTCAGCTCTGATCCCCTATTTCCATTTCCAGCTCTCGAAAACACATGAAAGGAGCATTACCTTCTCTGGGGATGTTTCATGCTGATTGTAACAAGTCGTACTTTACTTGGACTCAAGAGAATATGAATGCGGTAAGACAAACCTATTTCTACGTGAGTAGTGTGCGCTTTCGTGTACTCGCTCATAGGGTAATCACGATTTTCCTCCATTACTGGTATTCCCAAAGTATATTCTATAACTTCTGAAAAAGTATGCGTTTCATCTTAATTGGAATGAAGTGTATCTAGAGAGTAGGATCCACTGTCGGTTTAGACAAAGGATCTTCCCTTTGAGATATATTGCTCAACGATTTTTGATGCTCAACGAGATTTCGGTGGGAAGTAAAACGGCTGTGGTCTCGAATTGACCAAAAGGAGTATCACTGAACTTTTAATAATAAAGAATCATAAGGTCGTTCGGAAAGTGATTACAATCTTCTGAGCGTTACACAATAATTTCCCCCACCGAACGAATCGTAAAAACACAGTTCACGACAATTCAGAGGTATCCCTTTTCAGCTGAAAAGCGGAAGTATAGGTTGGGGGAGGCCTCATGAAGTGTGACGGGCAATGAAAAAATCGACTTATTGGCTTCTGAGCTTGAGGAAGCGGTGATCCCTTGGGCGGAAAAGAACGCGATGAACGTTAGCTGAACCTTTCAACAGGATTGGGCACCAGCCCACAGCGCAAAGAAGACGCTGCGATGCTGTGAAACCATGCTTCCGGGTTTTTGGACGAAGCCTCGATACATACAGCAAAATCCAAAGGATTGCGATCGGGGACCTCCAAATCCCCCGATCGCAATCCTTTGGATTTTGCTGTATGGACGATTCTGGAGCAAAAAGCCTGCGCTTCCAAACACAAGTCTTTGGACTCTTTGAAGAATGCTCTTTTGAAGAAGTGTGGGATGAAAGTGTTTGCGCGCGTTCTTGAAAACATGCGAAAGAGGTTTGATGCTTGCATTAAGGCAAAAGATGGTCATTCTGAATGTGAGATGTGATATACTGTTTACAATTTTGTTATTATTGTATAGAAGTAAATGTATCTTATTGGGTTGATTTGTATAAGTTTGATGCTAGTTTTCTGCGTCACACTTCATGTGGGTCACCCTGTCTAGGTTGAAAATAGTTCATTGAGAGTGACAAAAGCAAGTAAATTCCGATTTAGAGAAAATAAAGTCCCCAAAAAAGTGGAAATAGAGCTCGGAAGAGATTGCGATGACAGATGTATAATAGGTATTTGGACGAGATTCCAGTTGTTGCAATCCAACTTTTGAAAGGCTTTTAGAAGTAATTAGGTTCCAAACAATCCAATAAATCTTGCTTCATTCTCAGTATTCTTCAAAGTGTTTTCGCTTAACTCTATGCCCTTCTTCATCCCACGATACTACTTTCTTCTGGAATGTCACACAGCGTTGGAGGTCTGCTCTGTTCTATACTTATAAGACAAATTGCAGCAGCGACATTGTGTTTACCAAAAAGCTAAGGCATCGAGGTAGCCATATATTGTAAACAATCTAGGTGACTTGTTTATCGAAATGCTTAGCTTGCTCATAGTTGTAGACACGGAAAATTCACCAAATATTGAGTT